GTTTCATAGTTTAATTTCTAAAACGTTTCTAGAGATCTGACTAATTGTCCATAAAATAAAAGTTTGTGCTCTCTGCCCTTATTCTTTACACTTGAATTTTACTGAAGTTTTGTAGTTTAATCTTTGAAAAGTTATTTAATCATCAAAATAGTTTTGATTATCGATAGCCTTAGCGTTCAATAAATGCAGTTAAAATTTGTCTAATAATATTTCACACGTATTGCGGATTTATTCGTGCCTCGATACTAAATTAAGAATCGAAGAAATCAAATCAATTAAAAAACAAATTACAATTAAAAACCTACGTGTCCCTCGACCACGCAATTACCCGAGACTCTGTGAATTTACATTTTCTTCTTTTCCTCCGTTTCGACAAAATCCTCGAAAATCTGAAAGAGACGTGGTTTTTCAGAGCGATCTGTCCGATCGACGATGGAATCGATAATGTTCACTCGGGACGGAAAGCGGAGCAAGTCCTTCCTTATTTATTCATTAATTTCGAGAATCGATGTTTGACGACGAGGTCGCGGCTACTTGGAAGCGTGCACAGGGCTACCTCATGGTAGCACACGCCAGTTAGAATAGTGAGCGTTGCCAGCATTCCGGCGAGTAAATTCTTGAAAACTCGTTTGGTCGGTCCGATCCGCGAACCAACTCTCAATCTGCCCCCGTACGGCGAGCCGCGCGCGTGCGAATGTAAGTATAGTTTCCTAAATTGGCCCTAAATCTCAGCCACTCAGTTTCGTTCCAGTGATGCCTCGATACACGCTAAAATTTTTCGCGGCGCAGATACTTCCGCGAGAAATTCCTCTCAGTTCTCAGCGTCGACGAAATCTCCCGCGACGTTCACGGGGGTTGTATACTAACTCTCCGTCGCGGAGTTGTTGAAAGTTGTTGGAAAACGTTGCGAGAATTTTAAAGGTACGATAGCTGGAACGAAATAATTTTAACAAGTTTAGATAATAGCTGTCTTCTGAAAAAGTTGTTGATTCTCCGTCATGGAGGTCGAAATTGTTGGAAAACGTTGCGAGGATTTGAAATGTACGACAGTTCGAACGAAAAAATTTTAACAATTATAGATAATAGTCGTTTCTTTGAAAAAGTTGTAAATATTATTGTTTAAAAATACAGAGATGTTTCTTGACTTCGATGCAATTGTCTGTTACTCCTTTTGTTTATTAAATGAAAAAACTACGATCGTGTAATTATGAAAAATGAGGGAAAGATACCTACTATCTTGACAATTCTTGTTAAATAAAGGATGGGAAAACAATTTCGAGAATAACACGGTAGTTCGGCTCGATTCGAAAGTAATGAATTGGAAAAGTCAGGTTTCTTTAATAATTGTCAAGTCGGAAATGGCCAAAATGGCTACCGAAAGAGGGTTGACGCTCATGGCGTATCGAATCCGTGACAACGAGAGGGATGAGAATGCTAAAGTGAAGCTCTAGTATCGATTTTCGTCGCTTGAATTCACCATACATGAAACCTGACCATGGCACACCGCTTCCTCCCTCTTGCTACGACCCCTTACCATTTCCTACACGTTTTAAAACATCCCTATACTTACTTTACAAAACAATTTTTATGCGCGATATTCATTTATTTTCTTTTGCATCGACAAACTTTTTAATCTAATAATCGCAATGTTTTTCTTTTTTACGATAACATTCACTTTAATCTAAGAATAGCTGAATGTTGAAGAGTTCCATCATCACTAGGCACGTTCTAGGAAAACTTTTTGAAATGGAGTATAGATTTGCTCTAGAAAAAAAAAATCAATTGGAAATCTAACCTAATCTGTATCTTTTACAGAAACTTAATAAAAAATTATGAAAGAGTTACAATAACTAAATAAGTAATTAAAAACAACATTATTTCCGATCGAACGATATTTTTTGACATTATACAAAATACGAAATATTCACTTTAACCAAAGAACAGCTGAATGTTGTAAAGTTTCATCGTTCTAGAAAAATTCTTTGCAACTGATTGTGAATATAGATTTGCCCTAGAAAAGAAAAATCAGTTGGAAACCTAATCTAGTCCGAATCATCTGCAAAAATTTACCAAAAAAAAAAAAAAAAAAAAAGGAATAACACTAACGAAGTTATTATCAAGAACAACACTATTTCCGATCGAACGATAAATGACACTGACAGTCGTAGTCACTCACTATCAATTTCGTACCAAACGTCACGTGTGAAATGCTTCGAACGCCCAACGATGAAACGACGAGAACGAAATAAGAGCCGAAAGAGGACGAAAGAAGAAGAGCGGAAGCTTCCATTTCGGAAGAGTACCGTCGCCAACGACACCCTTGGCAGCTACCCGATCGCATCCCCCGAAAGGAGAGTCACGTCGCGCGATAAAAATAAAGCTCGGGACGAAGAGGCTCGCGGAAATTCTCGGAGCGTGGCCGGAACGTTGCATCAAAAGTTACGGACGTGTTACGTGAAATCGCGTGACTGGCTGCCGTGGTGAAACGGAAGGCGTGTTGCTGGTTGCAACGACGTGCAGACAGATGGGAGTGGTCTCCGCAATCACGATGGGCGTGGTGCTTTCACGGTTGTGTTGCAACTGCACCCCGCGCGCTGCAGCCTCGCTGCACGCTGCATTTGCCTTCCGACTTGCCGACGATTCCTGAATTTCCCCACACCCGGATAAATCGCGGGAAATCGATTTACGACGCACGTCGACGATCTCGACCATCCCGGGTGATGGAGTCACGAGGAAAATTCGAAACAATTTTCTACCGGTGCTTAAAGGAGCATCTCCCGTCGAATGAAAGGAATTTAATTTTTATACCTTCCGTGCAACTGTCGAGAATTTTCCAGTTATCTTCGCTACTCTTCAACGAAGCAAGAAGAAACGGTCCCTACAGACACATTATTATTCCAACTCCGCAGCGTTACAATTTTCCGTTTATTCTTTCCTAACTGAAAGAGAGAGAGAGAAAAAAAATCTCCAACTCCATTTACCACTCTCATCACCGTCCAGATATTCCTTTCCCACGCTAACGCTAAATTCCTGCGATCACCAACGGTCCCATAACACACAGGCTCTGCAACGCTCTGCCGGACTGCGAGGCGCAGTTTCTTCACCCCTGGGCGAGCGAACCAATCGATCCACGGGGCTACAGGATCCGGCGGGATCAGTGGACAGTGCCGAAAACACGGAAGAGAAAAAAGAAGAGGAAGAAGAGGAGAGGGCCCCGGTGACTGGTGGGCCTGTAGCGACACAGGGGAGGACCAGCGGGGCTTTTTACCCGCGATTTACATGATAAATCTCGTTGGAGGAGGATCGGAGCGGACATCAAAGTTGTGAGACCGAGAGAGGTGCAGCAGCGGCGTGGTTGCGGCGGCGGCGGCCGGCCAAGAGAGATCGGAGGCAGAATGGCGCGCAGGTAGCGCGCAAGAAAGGTCGGTCGGCCCCTCAGATGCTCGCAATTAATAAGAGCTTAATGGGGGACGATATAGCCACGTTGCCACGCTCTCTCTCTCTCTCTCTCTCTCTCTCTCTCTCTCTCGTGCTTTCTTCGTTGTTCTCCCACCGAAATCATCCACCGCCGACGACAAAAAGCCACCGCACAGCCGTAAAACATTTCGCTCCGGCTGTTTTCGACTGTATCCGGCCAAACGTGGCAAAAACGGCCAAGCCGTTTTCATTCTCGCAGTCCGACTATCTGATTATATATAAGAGAGGGAGAATAGTGGACGCTGGAAAACCCGGGGGGACATGGGAAACTTTTCACGTTGCCGGCTACGCGAGAGGAAAATTTTAGAGGTCCGACATAGTGGACCGACATTCACGGTTCTTGTCGGGAAATTTGAAAATAAATTTTTGTTACTGGTAAATTGGCTTGTTACTAGACTCTAGATTTTACGCGTTTGATGTACGAAAGTGTATAAAATAAAATGCAGTGACATTCCTATCTAGTTTCTCTTTCAAGAAAAGAAATTTTACTCAGAAAAAGACGTAAATTTGCAGTCTACATATTACAATTAATCTGAATTCTTATATTAATCAAGTAATCTTGATCTATCCCGTGGTGTTTCGTCGGTGGACGGACATTCACGGTTTTTGTCAGAAAATTTGAAAATAGATTTTTGTTACTAGACTCTAGATCTTACGCGTTTGATGTACGAAAGAGTATAAAATAAAATGCAGTGATATTCCTATCTAGTTTCTCTTTCAAGAAAAGAAATTTTACTCAGAAAAAGACGTAAATTTGCAGTCTACATATTACAATTAATCTGAATTCTTATATTAATCAAGTAATCTTGATCTATCCTGTGGTATTTCGTCGGTGGACGGACATTCACGGGAAATTTTAAAATAAATTTTTGTTACTGGTAAATTGGCTTGTTACTAGACTCTAGATCTTACGCGTTTGATGTACGAAAGTGTATAAAATAAAATGCAGTGACATTTCTATCTAGTTCCTCTTTCAAGAAAAGAAATTTTACTCATAAAAAGACGCAAATTTGCAGTCTACATGTTACAATTAATCTGAATTCTTATATTGATCAAGTAATCTTGATCTATCCTGTGGTGTTTCGTCGGTGGACGGACATTCACGGTTTTTGTCAGAAAATTTGAAAATAAATTTTGTTACTAGACTCTAGATCTTACACGTTTGATGTATGAAAGAGTATAAAATAAAATGCAGTGACATTTCTATCTAGTTCCTCTTTCAAGAAAAGAAATTTTACTCAGAAAAGGACGCAAATTTACAATCTACATGTTACAATTAATCTGAATTCCCATTCTAATCGAGTGATCTCGACCTACCCCGTGGTATTTCGTGTGATTTCTATTTCGTGGGAAGTTCTCTTCCATTTTTCGCGCTCACAGAAAGATCTCGATGTACATTCTCATATGTCTACGATCGTTCAAGTGTGCCGTTCTACGTCGAACGTCCCACGAGATATGGATTCGGCGGTGCAAGTATCGACTGATGGAAGGCACGTGAATGAGATTCGTGAGAGTCTACTCACCAGAGAGGGGTGCGTAATAGCCGTGCGGGTAAGAGGGTGCGGAGGAAGCGTCGACGAACGACTGCGACGGCGTGGCCGACGGCCAGTCCTTGTAGGAGGCCGCGGAGTGCGCGTGGTGCGCCGCATGGTGGCCAAGTCCTCGCGCACCACCCAACAGCAGCCCGCCGTAACTCGTCACGGTCGCCATATTATGATGGTGATACTCGTGCACAGCCCTGAAAGAAACGCATCGTAAAGATCAACCTGTTCCACGCGGATCTCGTACGTAACAGCAATAGCGACAGTAACAATGTGTTACGACGCGACGAGCGAGATTGAAAATAATCTCTAAGCGCGAAGAGGAACCGATGAAAATGAGGGACGGTTGGAGAAGAACGAAAAAGGAAGAGAAAAAAGGGTGGCACGAGAGGGAAGGAGAGAAAGAATCCTCGATATCGTGCCACCTCTCAAGAACGGTGACAGACTGGTAATTTATACGGCGGCCGACGCGAGATCAGCGCTAAAGATCTCTCGAGGCCAGGGGTACCTGCTCCCGACGGTTTTCTGTATTTTTCACGTCTCGTTTCCTCCACGCCACTGTTCTTTCTCTCTCTCTCTCTCTCTCTCTCTCTCTCTCTCTCTTTATCTATCTATCTCGTTCTTTATCCTCGCCACCGTGTCGCTTTTTTCTACGCTCGTTTAATCTACCCCCGGCTCCCGTCTCTTTCCCTCGATTTCTCGTGATTTTTCTCCCACTTTTTTTTTCTCGTCGCTTTTTCAACTCAGACAGAGAGAGAGAGAGAGAGAGAGGCCTCCTCGCCTCTGACACCTCTTCGTTTCTCGATATTCGTTCCCGAAGGTTTATCCCGGCAATCTGTCGCGTAATGAGCGAATTTTCGGAATGCGTTCGTTAATTGAACGAACGACGCTCGCGACCATTTTGTCGATTAATCGCCGCGGCTGGTATCGCGCCGCCCGCGCGAATTTGAAGTAGAGCACGTCACTCTCGAACGACCAGATCCTCACTCGTCCAATCAGCGATTGCAATGTTCTGTATTTCGTGTTATGAAATTGATGAAGCGCGAGACGGAGAAGAAATTTTACGGCGGTTTTTAACCACTTGCGCTGGCAACCGATTGCGGACCATAACGAGTGACCAACACCGTATAATTCGTCGCTTTCTTTCTGAACTCGTCGGTATACGATATCGCTGGATCGAAATTATTGTGAAGTAATAAATTTATTATATGTTCTGTCTATTTTGTTTTACCTAAATATACTTAAAACTGAGAAAGTATTACAATTTCGGAACAAAAAATTCCAGCGCAAGAGGTTAATTGAGCTGATATTGTTGCAACATTAATTTTAGTAACTTCGGGAATGTTAACGCATTGTTGACCGGTTGGCATTGGCTATTTTAATTTTTGACACAGGATATTGTGATATCTTTCGCTTTATTATGAAAAAAAATTACTTTTATTGACATTTAGGTTTTTAGTGTTACAAAAGTTTCAATTGTAACGTTGACTCATCTTTAGGACAATTAAAAGACTACGTTTTAGAAAAGAATAGTCACTGGTATAAAAGAGTATGCTCTTCGAAAGGAAGTCGCAACGAAATCAGATATATTTGCAAAACCTGTGCAAAAATTACTGCTATATACAGTTTGTCACACCGAAAGATATTACTAAAATATATTACACGTATAAAATATAATATGTACAAGATACACACAAAGTTTTATTTAAATTCATTCTGTATAAATAAATTATATTGAGATTCATTTAGATTGTTTCACTCAACTGCAAAGTATAATAGCCAGTGACACGAGATATCTGTGTAAAATTGCCAGTCAACAATATGTTAAACGATAGATAGTACGGAATTTCACGATGATAGTAGACTAGATTGAATTAGACAATAGAGTACATTAAATTAGATAGTAGAAAGTAGACGAGAAAAATGCGAATGGTTACGTAAAATCCAACGTCGGTTGATATTTCATCAGATTGAAATGTGACAGTTATTCTCGATCGTTCGACTCAAGTATATCTCAATGCTTATATCCCTTATTTCTTTTTGGGAAAGATGAATTTAGCAAATAAAGCCCAAGGAACTGGCCGGAGACTCGTGAATTGTTCGTCACGGTGAATTATGCGAGAGTTTAAAAGGCTTGAGAAACACCTGGGATTACGACAGATTTTCCTCTAACGTAGAAATATATTTTAAGGACAACGCGAGGAATGCATGGAACGCTCACCTGTGGTGATACTGTGGATAATGCGGATGCCATGGATCCGTTGGACACTCGTAGACCTCACCAGGATGCTGGCTCTTCCAGAAGGAAGGGGGGAAGTTCCTCATGAACATGGGAGAGATATTTTCTACAACAAAACAGAATGCTTTTAGTAATCCCTTATCTATCACAAGTATGAAATGAAAATTACCAGTGCAATGTTTTCAATCAAAATAGCATAATTTCGTTCGCATTCGAAGAACAACGATCCAACTTCGACAAATCTTATTTAATTGAAATGTAACTGTTCAATTTGAAAAGATGCCAATTGATTGAATTAGTTTTATTAATTTTGAATTTTGTAATCGATTGACACACCGCCACGTAGTGCTTTCGATTTAATCATCTAAAACTTCAAACACCAAACTTTGAATACTTATGCTATCGTTGTATCTACTTGGTTGTCTCGGTTGTCTGACTCTGAGCGTCCGATTCTACTGACGCAACCGGCGCGTCTTCGTTCTTGCTTGAGAAAATTATCATACAACGACAAAGCAGGTTGGAGCAAACATAATGTTACATAAAGTTAAAAATATTTTTAATCGAGAAAAAAATCTTGGAGAAGAATTTTGCCGCGCCAATTAAAAAAAAAACGTGTCTGATCAAAACGTGTCGATTGGTCTGACAAATGTGACTGCGTTGGAAAATAAAGACTTGATTTGAGACTTCAAAACACAAATCGATTCAACCCGTTTTTTTTTTTTTTTTATTTGACACGGCAGTGTTAACAATAGCAAACGTAACATTCGAATAATTCCAACGAACGTGTGATCTCTAAACATCACAGCAGACAGCAAAGTTCTTCGAAGTTTCTCCATCCGAGAAAGGCTGCACGTTATCTATGATCGATCTACGATCGATTGTCCCGGATGCTGGACGAATCAACCTGGGCGAATTCGACGCAATAATTTTCATTCGAAAGCTAGGCCCGTCCCGGTTAGGCAGGAATGTTTATTAAAATATTTGTATCGTTTCCCACGGGGCCAGCACGCGATTCTTTCGAGGGCTCACGATAAACGGGTAGTCGGATCCCACGGGATCGAGCCGCGCGACAGAAAGGTACCGCTCGGTTGTTTTACAAGCGACCACTCCAAAGCCAGAAGCTTGTCGTGTATCCTCCCGCGAGTCTCCTCCGGGTCCTTGGTCCCGGGATTCCTTTTTCTCTCCCTCTCTCTCTCTCTGTCTCTCTTTCTCTCGAAGCTCTTTCGGCCAATCCAAACACATATTCGAAGGTTGAATCAACGGAGGTCGTGCCAGCCGACGATTTATATTTCTAATTCCTCCTCTTCTTCTTCCTCGATCTCGTCTTCGATCGCCGGTCTGCCGTCCGATGGAAAATATGGTGTCGGCTAATTTATGAAAAGAAAAGAAGAAAGAAACGAAATCTTCGTCCCCCGACAATCACTGCCACTTCACGGTTATTAGCGTGTTATTCTTCTGTTGTTTCATTTATTTCTTTTTTCTCTTTTTTAATAATTATTTTGTTCGAGCTTTTCGCCTCTGATCCAGCTGCGTTTCTCTTCTCTCGTTGTTAAGCTGCAAAGAAACTTGGCGTGCGAGAAAGTGTTTGTCAATAGTAGGTCGTTGCGTTTATCTTCATTTGCTCGGGCAACGCGTTAATTATGAAGTTTGCTGTTTATGGATCGACAGGGATGCAGGACTGTGCAAAAAGCGACTAAGGCTGTTTGATAAAACAGCGAAGCATGAATTATTCATTTGTCCGTTGCACAATCCACCGGTGTGTATCGATCGACACGCAGTTCTCCGTGTGCAGCCGTTTGTCTTTAATAGGTGACACGTAATTAACATATGTACGTACACGCGTGATAATTAACGAGTTAACAATCGTTATCAACGTTATCGTCGTATCAATAAATACGATAAACGTTTAATTTCTAAATATATATTTATTTCTTTTTTATTTAACAAATAATAATAATATATTTATATATATTTAGATCATTTATTTTCGAGATAGTTAAATAATTAAAATAAATTAATTAACCCTGATACAAATGGTACAAATTATATTTTACTTATTATTTTTTTAATAAATTCATTCTCATTACTTTAATTATAAATAATTTTACTAATTTTAAATTATTACTATAATGTTTTAAATATTTATTATAAAATTTGATTTATATATATGTATAACGAAGCTAACAAATTTGGAGAAAATGATATCTTCCAAGATTGTAAAGTAATTTTAAAATATGATAGAAGATGGAAATGGAACAGGAAATTTACTTCGATCTTTTAACTTATTAAAAGATACTTTTCTTCTCGAGAAAACTGTTATAAATTATCACGGTTATATAATTATGAAACTGTTATAGATGGTCGTAGACTAACATGAATGACTAAATCAACTTTTACAACAACTTCTCAGGACTTACTCTTGATTAAATTGATTAAACTTTGAATATCATGCGAAAGTGCAATAACGAAGAAAGTATTAAAATTACTAGAATTTTGTAAATCAGCTCGAAAGTTGAATAAAATGACGAAAAGAAAATCGTATATCAAGACTCTGGTGGTTGTCGTAAAGATGAAGCTTCAATCCTTTTTTTGAAAAAAACTTTCTCAATATCTTTACGTGCTATGACGGAATTGATAGCATTTTCAAGAAGAAAAGTATCTTCACCCACCCCCCCGTTAAGCGAAGAAAAATCAGAATATTTTGAATGATGCACCTTGGAAGCAGAGGCTTCGAACTTCAACCCTCTGCACTCTGAATTACTTTCCAATTGTTTTTTCTTTCAAACAACATAAAAACCCTATTTCAAAAATGAGTGCGACTCCACGCAAGAGTGCCCGTGTTGAAATGAACTCGGATCGATCATTGCACGATCATCCTTTTCACAAATTGATTCGAGTGTCCGAATATTAACACCAGTCACTCTCTGAAGATTCGAAACGTCCGTACATACAGGCGCACTCATGGTCAACCCTTTCCGCGGCCTCGGCAGAGTGGCAGATTCGCGTAGAAATCGAATCCCGGCTGTTCCCCTGCACGGCCGAGCGCGGCATCGGCACCGGTAGAAAGCCGTCCGTGGACGCTCGACACTCTGTTTCTTTAATTGCGTTAATAAATAAAGGACAGTCGGCCAGAGAGTGGACAGCAAGCCGGAGGAGCGGAGAGGAGGGGCGGCGATGGCAGAGGGGAAAAGAAGAGGTAAAGGCAGCGGGAGGAAGGAGCCAGCAAGAAGAGCGAACCGATCCGGGGGTTGGAGGAACGACGAAGGACGCTGAGAGGTGGGAGGGGGAGGGGGAGGGGGGAGGACGAAGGACGCCCAACGCTCGAAGGCCGGTTTCCGTTCCCGCTATCTCGCATCTCCCCTGTATAAGCAAATCGCAATATTTAACGCGATAGTTAGTCAATCTTCCTTGATACCTGCTCCCTCTCTCTCTCTCTCTCTCTTTTCGAGAGACACACACGAGAAACTATATTTTACGCGTTTCGCGCCGGCTGCCAACTCCCCCGATCTCGACATTCCACGCGTGGGAAACAATGCAGCCTCCGCCGGGCTTCTTTATGCCGAAAGTGTCGCGGGTCAGTTGTTACCGAGACGACCCGATACCCAATCGGGTTACAGTATCGTTCCGGACCGTTTGAACATTCGCTGGCCACGGCCGAATTTTGCGAATCTCCTCGCGAGTCTGTTGCTCGAGCGGAGAGTCGTGGAGAGTCTTTGTTTTCTCAACTTTGTAACATCGACACAATGATCGATTAGCGTTAATGTGCGCTAAGAAGGTTGAGAACCCTCGAGACCTCTTGCCATTCGAATTATTATTCCCCCGTCGTCGGGTATATTGCTTCGTTAGATATTCAAATTACATCGATACCGGTGTACGTACACGCATACTTTCGCGGGTATTATCTATTCGAGCTCGCTATTCACCATCCATCTCCCCGGAGAACTCTGTATCAACGCGTGACAATCTACGACCCTACCAATAAATTTCACCCTCCCATCCCCCGGGTTAACGAGTCCTCAATTCGATAAATTCACGCGCAATTCACGCCGAAACCGAAAATTTCGAACGTGAATCTCGATTCTCCTCGAATGTCGTTCCAACGTCGAAATCAAAGTCCGCGGAAATTCACGGATTTCACGGAGTCAACGGACGATGGTCGTTAATTTTTCGCGAAGGTTCATTCATTTCGGCGACGAGCTCGCCGGTAATGATTCACTTTCAACCGAGTTGAGCGAGCAGCTCGACGTCGATGGTCGGTCCGCGGGACCGCGCGATAGCCCGATACAAATGTAGCCGATAAATCTTCGGGGCGGCGCGGCCCTTTCATTTGCGGAGGGCCGCGGAAAATAATCGGCTGACACGGCGTTGGACGAGGAGGTGGAGGAGGGGGTGGATGGGTTTCGCGCGTCGACGCGTGGCGCTGGCGCCGCGCCAGAAGGTGCTTGCCTCTATAAAGACGTCGCGCGTCGCGCTGCCGCGATTCGTCAAAACGTAACCCACCGGCTGATTGATGTGGCGGTGCGACCGGATGCCTCGTTATTCCGATTGCACGGGCGCTCGTGCGGCCAAAGGGTTTATGCCACGGGTTTAGGCCACCGTGCACGTGGCCAAAACACCGATCGAGCGTTCGCGAAACGAACTAACGGCGCGTTTGCCCGTCTATTTTCGATTTTGCCCCCCAGTTACGACACCATCGACTCGCCACGATTTCGGATTTTCGTGTTGTTCGCAGTTGCATTGAAATTTATCGATTGAGAGAGATATTTCCCTCTTTTGTTTTTTTTTTTTTGTTTTTTTGGGAATCGTTCTCCTGAATGGAGAATGAAGTGGAGCGTAATAGATTTGATGGAAGGTTCGTTTCATAAAGTTGCGAAAAGCCACTGGACGTTCTGATCCATTCGTTGTATACGACGGTTTAATTTCTCGTTAATTTGACGATTGTGTCGCTCGGAAGTTTACCGGAAATGATGACACGAGTTTAAAAACGAAAGGAAATGGCATCGCGAATCGGACTGTATAAACAGCACGTGCCATTATTTTCCATATATGTCTATCGATCACAGATCTCGATTATTGTAACAATTTCATCAAACGTTCGCAGCGATCTCCTCGCTTAATTAACAATCGACCAAATCAACGGTATCTTTTGATTAGTCTTTTCTCGTAAGCCGCCATCCATCCCTCGAAATCTCTCTTTTGTAAATCAAAACTCTATAATTATATTTGTTTTTGTGTCTCCATCTCAACTTCTTTTTCTTTTTCTTTCTGTTTTCCAATATTATTTTACAAGTTGGAAACCGCTGGACCAAAACGATCGAAAATCCAAAAATGTCCACCGGACTGGCCGGGACGTTTCTCAATTGCGACACCGTCCTTAAATTACGCGCATCGTGTCACAGATTACACGGCAATTTTCGTTCGTCCGATCGGCGAGGCCTGCGAGCCTGCGTTCAGAAGAGCGGTGAAAAAGCGCGGGGCGCGGAGCGGAGGATCGGTATCGCGGCTAATCTCGCCGGCAGCCTCTTTGAAGAGGCCACGCGGCGTCGTGTAAGGGCCATGTCAAGTAATTGCGTCTGTGTTGCGCCGCGGTGGCTGGCGAACCGGGCGTTAATTTGACGCCACCGACTGGAACGACGCGCTCAATTTCCCGAACTCAACTCAACGGGTTACCGCCGGGTTCCCCTCCCCCTCGACCGTGTCGTATTCTCATCAGAGCCGAGCGGCGAACGCCGCGCGATAAGCCAGCCCGATTCCCCCCACGTCAGCGGACGTTATTCCGAATTAACCCTTTGAACGGAAGTATGCGGCGCTGATAAACGCGTGGCGATTTTTCAGTTTCAGCGACGGCGACAGCCACTTTCAGCTCGCTGAGAAACCTAGAATCTGTCTGTTTCTCCCTCTCCTCCTTCCTCACCCTTTCGCGCGCGTTGCACCGACTATTTCAATACTCGAGAAGATCCTTACGGATTCATATTTTACGTCTGCTAATGTAACGAGATTTATTAAAACGAAAAATTCGCGTAAATGTAACATATCGACATGTTTCTCGACCATTCGTTTAGAAACATTTTATCTAATCCTCTTGCGCTGGAATGACGCGCGTCGAGAACTTTTTTTTGCTTCAAAATTGCAACATTTACTCAGTTTTAAGTGTATTTTAAGTATAACGCAGCAGAATAAACAATAAATTTATCACTTCTTCTGGTAATTTCTATCCAGTGACATTATTCCAGCCACAGAGTTGAAAAAGAAAGCGACGAATTATTATTGTACACGGTTTGGTCATTCGTTATGGTCCGCGAATCAGTTGCCAGCGCAAGGGGTCAAAGAGATAAATTAGACGTTACAGCTCGTATTCTGTTTTCGAAAATTTATCCCGTAACGAACACTTCTGTTTGAACCTAATAAAGGTAAATTAAATTAATTTCAGCTTGGCTTGCATTTCGTTTTCATAAATTTACAATTGTAATATACATCTCGTATGATACGGGAGTTGCACCGCGTACCAAACAATTTATATTCGTACAAATTAATTCGTACGAACAGTTAATTTCGTAAATGTAAAACGAAGAATTCATCACGTACTCGCTGTGTCTGAGTATGACGCGATTGTTCCACTTGCATGCGTATTCTACGCGTATACATACAAAACACAGACACCAGTTAGGCCCCTTTATGCACGACGACAGTATTGGTAGATATTTTAAAAAGTTGACAGAGAGTTCCACTTGTATCGCGATGATTAACTTCCATAAACATACCATCGATGAAGCTTGCCTCGCGCACGTTTTTCAACCGGCCGAGTTGTAATAAGCCCTTAAAAGATTAACTGAACTCGCCTCTCTCGAACGCTACGCAATGAAAGCGAAAGAGTTGCCGCGCTTAGTAGGATCCTTACGAAGGCGGTGCCCGCAAGAAGGCAGGATAATCACGGTCGCGTCGCGTATGCGCCCGTATCGGCGAGCATTCGAGGGCAAAACGTAGTTTTATCGGCTAGTCGTATCGTTCGAGCTCCTATCCCCTTAAACGTGGCGCGCCAGCCGCTCCTGGCACCGACTGGTAGCCAAGCAAAACCCTTGCTAGATGCAATTTCCTCGGCTCGCAAGAAACCGCGGCTCTTCGGATAGCGTAACACGTCACCGATCCCCCTTTCGGCCGGAATTGCGATTTCGTGCATCGTCCGATCCGGTCTTTGGCGTTTAACCCTTCGCCCTCGACGAAGGGTTTTCTTCTACCAGCAATTTATTCACGAAGCACTCGCTTCGAATAAAATGACGTAGTGTTGGAGATGATTATCGTTATTATAAATGGTATTTAACATTTTATTGATTATAAATGTATGATGATAATAATAATAATAATAATAATATAAAACATAAATAATAATAATAATAATATAAAACATAAATAATAATAATAAAATTATAATAATAATAATATAAAATATAAATAATAATAATAAAATTATAATAATAATAATATAAAATATAAATAATAATAATAATAATATAAAATTTTATTGATTGTATCTGTCCAACATGTGATGTCATTTAAATTTAAAGCAATCATTAAGTAGGTACGTAAGGATTTGCTAGTAACGTCGTTTCTTGATACTGTACAAAATTTTATTCTATTTAAATTATTTCTTTTCTTTTTTGAATTATTGCCACTAGATGGAAATGTTTATAAATTTGAAAAAAAAAAAAAAACAGAGACATTATTTCCAACAGAGGTATCCCTGATTCAATCTGGAAACTAATATCCTCCACCATTTTTTAAACTTTCGCAAGAAACAGTAGGAAGTCTAGTTTATATGAATTATTGAACGTCAATTGACCATCTTCAGAAATTTCTTATTTTCTGAAATTCTTTTCTTCTTCTCACGTCGTTACTGTAGCTTTCACTCCAGTCTGTTCGAATATTATACTATTATACACCGCAATGATACAAATATATACGTTCATTATAATTATCAGCAAATACATTATAATATTTTTAACATGCAAATATATTGTTATTTTAGCTGTTGGCTAGATGTAAGGAATAGTCTGACCGCTTCAGAAGGGACAATCGAGTGCAAACAGTTGATTAAAGATTTGCTCGCGAGACGCATGCGCATAATAATGCGCGAAGCGTGAACAACGGAAGAACGAAATCGCCCGGCATAATCCAAAGGCGTAACTATTCAATTTAATAAGACCGCGTAACGCGGCGACGATGCCGGGGATCATCTCTCTTGCAGCTCGCCGCAAACACGCGCCGCAACACGCCCAAACAATTCGCAACCCTTCTTATCGGTCGCCTTTCACTCGCTGCGGAGGGGGTGTCTTTGTTCTCCGCGAGCACACACGCGCTGTCCCATCGCGTACGCGAGAGACGTTCGCTCCTTGTACGTACGTTTAAGCCGGCATACCGCGGCTAAAACTGTCTTCTCCGGCGCTCTGTCTCTTCGTCGTTCCTCGTCCCCCTTCGAACCCCTTCCTCCACCTTTTCCGCTCCTTCTTCACCCCTGAGCTACGCTCGCGCTCTTCCTGAGTCACCGTGCGTCTCGTGTCGCAGAGGCCGGAGAGAGAAGCTCTTAATTTACCTTTCCTACTCCGTGCTCTCGATGGAACGAAACGAAACGAAATGAAACGAAACGAAACGAAACGAAACGAAACGAAACGAAACGAAACGAAACGAAACGAGCGAGTCACGTGGGGGGAGGGAGGGACGCAACGAGAGAAAGCGAGACAAAAGAGGGAGAGAGGCGCACCGCACATAACAATTAGGTCGTGTTGTCTTGAATTCTAAGCAGGCTAGTGAACCGATCGTCAGCGCTGCCGCGAGATAAATGCGGCCTTAAACGATACCGATATAGACGGGCTGCTACGCCGATCGCTTGCCAAACCGACTTCCACCGGGGCAACCCCCTGCGCGGTCGCCTTTCTCGTTAGCCGGCGCTCTTTCTTTCGCCAGCTTTCGGGCCCTTCGTCCTGCTCGCCCACCGCTCCATTTCGGGGCCATATGAATGTCCTTTTTCTTCATGCTTCTCTCGATATACGCACGCCGTATATCCTTTATTTCCAGTGCGCGCATTCTCGCGGCTGTTTCTTCTGGCCATGATCATTTCACTACGCCCTTACGCCCGAACGTTTTTTCGCTTCTTCGAGAATAAATTGTCGAAACGAAGCACACTATCTCCGATCATCGTCACGACGTTTCTGAACTTTCGTTCTCCCCAAGTTTTCCATCCTACGATTTTTCCATCTCTCGAAGTCAATAGTCAACGTTAAGTTAAATTCAACAAATCTGCCGCTTCGTTTTCAATCTGGCGGCTGGTTTTTGCTCTCTCCTCTTTCCGTGGACCGAGGAGGGAACTCTCCGCTCTTCTCCTTCTTCTTCGTCTCCTTGCACGGGCCGACAGCAAGGGCTTTAAGTCCCCGAGTGCGACGACGGTACAATTGTTACGAGGCTTGTTAGCGTTGTCGCGGCCTAATGGCGCACTTTATTATCGGTCTCCGCTGGGACCGCGTTTGCGTCCGCTCGCCATCCGTTTAAATCACCGCCCTTTGATGCATTAGTCCCGCTCCACGGTTGCTCGCGTCCTCCGATCTTCGGGCTCACGCGTGTCTCGATGACGTCGAAGCGTCGAAACGAGATCGTAATTGGAACTCGAAACGTGTTTATTCTTACCGGTTTTCAAGTAACTCCGTTCGAACGTCGTCCACCGCCTCCTTTTTTTCCTTTCTTCTCTCTCTCTCTCTCTCTCTCTTTTCCTTTTTTAATTTATCGCCAATCGATGATCGTTTATTTTATCTCGCATCGTATGTTTCACACAGGTTTATACAGACAATTCGTATTCTTTCAAACTTTATACGTTTCAGCGATGTAACCAGTTCGGTACAGCAACTCACCCTTCGGTTTGTCGTGCGCCAATGCCCTTTGAAAGTGCTCCTCCACCTCGGACGCAGCGTCCCCTCGGTAATGAGTGAAGACCACGCAATTTGTGCTGACGTACTGCGCTATGCTCTCGCCATCGTCTGAATCCTCCGCTGCAGTGCCAGTACCTACGGCTATAAGCCAGTTAGGTAGGGCAAATTTGCCAGGATTAAGCGATATTAATTACTGCTATAGTCTATACCAACTGAATCGCGAGTATCGGAGTATCTTTTTTGTTTTTTTTGTTTTTTTTTTTTTTGGTTTCTCTAAGAAATTAATATATTGGGGTAAAATCCAGCGTGAAGCAAGCTCGGTAATTTTTCAATATGTTGTTGTTTTATATATAATACACAGACGGTCCTAGTTTGTTCACAGAACGTTCACAAAAATCATTGCGTTAACCTGTTGCGCTGGAATGACGTACCACGAACGTCGAGAATTTCTCGCCCTAAATTGCAACATTTTTCTCAGTCTTAAGTATATTTAAATGTAACCGAGGCAAAACAAATGATAAAGGTTTATTACTTTTCAATAATTTCCAGTGATATCATACCGACGAGTTCAAAGAAAGAAGAAAGCGACAAATTACTGGTTCAGTCGCTCGTTATGGTCCGCGCAACCAGTTGGCCAGCGCAAGTCGTTAATTGCATCAGTAGATTTGGATGAATAAATACAATCCAAATCTAATCTGTAAAATACGACCCAAAGAACTGCCAAACGATAGCAACACAATGTAGTAATCAAAAAATCGACAATAACTCTTACTATATTACTAAAATACGATCCAAAGAACTGCCAAACGATAGCAACACAATGTAGTAATCAAAAAATCGACAATAACTCTTACTATAGATAGAATACTATAATTTCGAAACTAGGATCGTTCGTGAATTATATATATACAAGGGGGAAATTGTTCAGAATCATGCCTCCAAGTGGATCATCAACAGAAAGTCGTAGTCGAATTGAACTAACTAGTTGAAGAATGAAAATATTGACATCACGAATGCTTTCAGCTCACCGTCCGTCGATCTGTCGTCGTCTAACGTTCTCGAGGGTTGCGAAGTGGTGGATGCAACGGGTGGTCGTGGTTGAGGAGTTGGCCTTGGCGACGCTGGACTGGGTGCCGAACCGACGGAACCTGCGCTGCTCGGTTGTCCTTGAGGAACACTTCCACCAGCTCCGCAAATTTCGAGACCCGCCGCTCCGAGTGATCTTTGGTGAACGTTCAACTGTAAAAGGAACAACCCTGAGTCAACATACATACGTTCTTTTATTCATAAATATCACCATCCAACGACAATATAATTTTCATTCTGTGAAACGAACACACTAGAGCACAGTAGAAAGATGACTAACTATTTTGTTTGACAGACTATTAACTCTAGAAAAGATTATCAATTATCTTTGGTGAACATTCAACTGTGAAAACAATATTATAGTTATGTATATTTAATATCATTTTCATAGTTGAACGTTAATAATCAATAATCTTTCCTATATTTAACAATCCATCACAGAATAATTAATAATCCACTTTCAGTGGAGTTTACTAAACTCCATATGTATAACTTGAATATATATATATTGTTTTTATATATGTGTGTACGTCTTTTGTTCACAAATATTACTATCCAATGACAAGGTAATTTTTTTTCACTCTGTGAAATTATAGCAAGTTTAATAAATGAAATCCAGTAAACGAGCGATTAACTGCTCTGCGTTCATACACATGATGATTAAGATAGTCACGGTTTGAGTAGAATTCGTGTCACTGCTTCCGCGTATCTTGATAAATTCTGCAACGTCCTTTCGACTCGCGAGAATTTCACACGCTTCTGTGTGCCATCGCGTGCACATTGCACGAACATTCGTGAAATTTCTAATTATCAGAGTTGAAATATGAGGAACAATCACCGTGCACATCTAAATATTTACGCGTTTATGCGTAAACGCGTTACACTGAATCGTAATTTAGTCTTCCTCTCGTGTTTCGTTGCGAAACTTTCGAAGCTTTATCCTTTTTAATTGCTCGTTTTGTTAACACCAATGTCATTTATACTTTTCTTGATATGTAAAACGAAATATGTCGGTGGTTCAAGCGTTAATTCCTTATGACGCATTAAATTCTAGAAAAAGATTTCATCCACTCGTTCATCACAAAAATGGAGAAAAGGTTTAAAAATATTAATACCAATATATTTATCCATCTCCAACTATCCAACGATCCTACTCGATTATTCTACAATTTTAGAAAAAAATTCCATCCACTCGTTCATCACAAAAATGGAGAAAAGGTTTAAAAATATTAATACCAATATATTTATCCATCTCCAACTATCCAACGATCCTACTCGATTATTCTACAATTTTAGAAAAAAATTCCATCCACTCGTTCATCACAAAAATGGAGAAAAGGTTTAAAAATATTAATACCAATATATTTATCCATCTCCAACTATCCAACGATCCTACTCGATCATTCTACAATTCTAGAAAAACATTCCATCCACTCGTTCGTCACAAAACTGAAAGGAAGGTTTAAAAAGAGGTTAATACCAATATATTCATTCATTTCTAACTATTCAACGATCCTACTCGATCATTCTACAATTTTAGAGAGAGATTCCATCCACTCGTTCGTCACAAAAATGGAGGGAAGGTTTAAAAGAAATTAATACCAATATATTCATTCATTTCTAACTATCCAACGATCCTACTCGATCATTCTACAATTTTAGAGAGAGATTCCATCCACTCGTTCGTCACAAAAGTGGAGGGAAGGTTTAAAAGAAATTAATACCAATATATTCATCCATCTCCAACTATCCAACGATCCTACTCGATCATTCTACCACTCGACCGGAGGAATATCATCAAGCTGGCCGATCCACATTTCAAACGATCGCGAGAGTCCCGGTAAAATTAATACCACGAATACGTTCGCCCATCGCCAGCCATTCAACGATCCTGCCCGACCATTCTACCACCCGACCGAAGGAATATCATCAAGCTGGCCGATCCACATTTCAAACGATCGCGAGAGTCCCGGCGACAGCGGTACCGACATCACTCGAGTGCTGGCCAAAATATTACAGGGCCAAGCGGACCGCGAGCAACGAAATGCCCGCGGACGAAACGCTTCGACGATCCGGCTGCAACGGCGCCGACAATTCCAGGGATTTTACCACCCTCCTTCCACCCTTATCCCGAGCCTGTCTGCCGTCAGTCACTCCGACTGAAATCGTTCGAAGGAAACGCGCGGACGTGTCTCGGAGCGGACGTTTAGTAGGTAAATCGTACGAGCGGCGCCCTTAGAAGAGGGGCAGCTGCCTCCTCCATTCAGCACATACCGACGCCAGGCGTCGGCGTCCATTGTGCCTTTCCCCACCCCCTCGCTGCCTCCAACTGGCTGCCGGACCAGACTGCAAATAGCGCGAGAGCTATGCTATGCGCACCGGCATCGTCACGGCCGGTCGCAATGAGACCAAATAGGACGTAATGCTCGCTATTCATTAGATCCTACGGATGCAAATGCCACGCTGGGTCATGGCATTCTGCTCGACATTTTTTTCGGCCGAGCCGAGCTGCCCTCGTCGAGCGGTACGAGAACGCACGCGACACGGCAAGCCAACTATTCGGCCACGACCGACGAGGAACATGGCCACCGCCTTCAGCGTCGCGGCGCCCGATCCGGGACATTTCTCGAGGTCGGATTGGCACGATTTCTTCAAATTCAAATTGCTTCGCGTCTCTAGGCTCACGTTAGGCGAGTTTTCTTTTTTTTTTTTTTTTTTTTTTTTT